TTTTCGTTTATAGAATCATTATATATTTTTTTATTTAATCTAGTAAGTTCTTTTGCCATTTTTTCTATCATTTCATTATTTTTAATTTTAACATACGACATTTTATATAAGCAATAATTTTTTAAATTGCTTTTAACATAGGTATGTTTTACATTAACATAATGTATGTTTTAATCTAACATAATGTATGTTTTAAACTAGCATAATGTATGTTTTACATTAACATGTATTATGATTTAGTTAATATTTATTTTGTTTATATTTTGATTTTTACCGAACCTACTTTCCAGCAATTCCATAGCCTCTTTCATAGCTCTCTCTTTACCTTGATTAATTAATGATTCTTTAGTTTGCTTATTAATTTCATCTTTAGATTTTGTTCTAATTCCTTCAATCATTTTTTGAAACTCTTCATATTCTGAAACTATCTATGCAAATTCTATATCATCAATTTTACCATCTGTTAAAGCTTTAGTAATTTCATTGCTTATACTATTCAATTTAGAATCTGCTAACGTTTTAATCTTTTCATGTTTTTCTGCTTTTATGATTAATTTTTTAACAGCTTGTGATTCTATTAATGATAATACACCCATACCTAATGCTGCAATTTCACATCCAAGAGCTACTGGTGATCCGACTATTGTTGTTAAAAATCCAATACCAACAGCTCCAAGTGCCATTGTGCTAGCTAGTAATGAATTATCGATAGCTGAAATTATTCTTAAAGATTTGTGATATTTTTTAATTAAAATTTCTCTTCTCATTCTTTCACATTCTTTTCACATCTTACTTTGAATTTCATTTATCTTAACTAATCTAAAATTTTGATTAGATGTAGGTGGTGCGGTTGGATCAACTCTAAACTGACTAATATCTGGAAAAATATTTTTATGCTCTTCATTTTTGCATTCTTTATAAGACTCCATTATTTTTATAAAGAATTATATTTATTTAAATCTCTTTCAGAGATCCTAGGTCTCAAAAAGACCTAAATTATTTTAGTTTATCATATTTCTTAGAATTAGATTTATTAACAAATTTAGGATCATCTTTATTAAATATATTACTTATTAATGAACTTCCTACATCTGTTAATGATTCTCCTATATCTGATTATATAGATTTAACTGAATCTTTATCACTTTGGGATTCAACTTGTTTGTTTTTTTTTTGTTTCTTTTTTTGCTTCTTCACTCGAGACATTTAGTGATTCATAAGAACTTGGTTCAACTTGTTCTACTTTATATTTATTAGTCGATATATAGTTAACTCTATTTAAAATTTCATTATAAGATAAGATGTAAAATAAACAATCTTCTTTTTCAATTTTTTTATCTTCATTCTCATTATTATATAAAGTTATAATAATATCATCAGTTCTGATAAAGCAACTAATGCATAACCTTCGTTTATTTCAACTCCACACTTTAAAGAGATGTATTTATACGATTTTGATTTCATTACAAAATCTTGCTGTGCAAATATCTTAACTTTTTCATTTTCAATCTTTGCGTTATGTTCTAAATCTAAATTAATATTAATAATTACTGTAGGCTTTATATATTTTTCAGGATTTAAATACATTCTATGCATTTTATGAATATAAAGATTTTTTTAATTTATTTTCATAAATTTATCATTTTACATGCACAATAAAAAATTTATTTAAAAAAAAAATGATTTAAATAATTTTTCTTGCATATATACAATGGAAAACGAAATAGCGAAGCAAGGATCGCAGAGTGATCTAGAAAAGAAGCTTGAAGAATTATGCTTAAAATTAAAATTAATAGAAGAAAGATTAGAAATGTTAGAAGATGCTGAAGTTACTGAAGTTACTACTACTGAAGTTACAGAAGTGACTACTAAAGTAACTACTGAAGTTACTGAAGATGAAGATGAAGATGAAGATAGAGATGAAGATGAAGATGAAGATAGAGATGAAGATGGAGATGAAGAAAGTACATAGATTTAATTAATTTATTTTTTACATAATAAAATATATTTTTTTTTTTGAAATGAGTTAAATAATTTTCTTGAGTATATAAAAAGAATGTTATATGTGAAGATTGGAGATTTTAATGAAAAAAATTTATATGTAAAAGAAATTAAAAAATTTAATAAACCTGTTAAATATCAAAAAATAGTAATTGAATACAAATACTCTTCTGAATATTCAGGACCTTTAAGAGTAAAGACTCCAAAAATGTTTTCATATGGAGTTAATGAAAACAGAGACATAAAAACAAAAGAAGTTACAGGATATTCAATTCCTTTTGTATGTAAAAATGAAAAATTTATTAAGATGATTCAATCTATTGAAAAGTTTTGTAGAGATAAAGTTAAAGAGAATGAATCAAAGTTAAAAAAAGGTGGTATGAAAAGCTTAAATTTTGACAACTTGAATATTTTAAAGTATAAAGATGATGATTCAAATCCAATTTTATATGCAAAAATACCTAAAGATTTTGAAAGTGGAAAGATGGAACAAGTATTTAGATCTAAAGATTCAGATTTTGATAGAGATAAAAATGATGATATTCTAGGAGAAAGTCTTATTAAAAAAAGGTGTGATGTAATTAGCTGTTTAACAATTGAAGGTGTATATGTAGGTTCAATGATTCAATCTATACAAGTTAAATTATCAAATGCAGTTTTATATGCAAAAGAGTACAAGAAAGAAAGTTCAATAATAATTGAAGATATAGATTTAGAAAGTGAAGATGAAGAGTAAGTATTAATTTTATATATTAGAAAATAATATATATAATGAGATAGGTCTCTTTGAGACCCAGGGTTCCGAAGGAACCTAGCGAAGCATTGATGACAATCACTTTGTCATCAATGCTTCGCTAAATAATAATTATTATAAATATAAAAAATGTCATATGTTAAATCTAAATATATTAGTGTAGAAAGCTATTATAAATCAAATATTCCTATAATTAATTTTGATGAAAATGATATTAAACTAGATGAAAATAAAGAATATGAAATGGCTCTAGCTAAACTAAATATATGTTAACTACAACTTTTTATCAGAATTAACAAGTTTTCGTATATTAAATAATATTGTTGAAGGACAAAATATTAATGGTAAAGCTACTAGTGTTATGCATACATTCTTACCAATAGCTAGACCTTCAGGAGTAGCTGTTCTTGAAAAACCTCATTTTGATTATTATCCATTAAAAATAAAAAAACTTATTTCGATGAAAGTTGAAGTAATCGATAATAACAATAAAGTTATAGATTTTAGTAATGGAGTAATATTGACACAATTTCATTTAAGAGAAGTAAAGTAAATCATTAATTATTTTGAAAATCGTATAAATAAAATATATTCTATATTTAAAAATGAACGTATGTATAAGCGGTAAAAGCTCAACTATAATTAATAATTTTTCACCATCTATCGAACTAGATGAAAAAAAAGATTATGAAATGGCATTAATTGGATTAGAAACATATAACAGTTTCCCAAATATTAATGCATCAAATTACAATCTTAGATATAGTCCAGATAATGGTGTAAATTGGGATATTATTACTATCCCAGAAGGTTCATATGAATTTAAAGACATAAATTTATTTATACAAGCAGAACTTACAGCTAAAAGAATTCCATTATCTATTGCACTTGATTCAAATATTAATACATTGAGAGCATCAATGACACTTTCAGCTAATTTTCAGGTTGATTTTATATATCCAAATTCACTTAATACAGTTTTAGGATATAAAAGTAAAATATACACTGCATTAACTAATCCTAATGTATCAGATGACATAGTAGATATAAATCATATTAGTACTATACATGTTACAAGTAATGTTATATCAGGTTCATATCTAGATAACTCACCTAAAAACATCATATTTTCATTTTATCCGAAAGTACCTCCTGGAGCTAAAGTTGTTGAAAAACCAAATACTCCAATTTATTTACCATTATCATCAAAAAAGATTTGGAGTTTAACAACAACATTAATAGATCAAGATCAAGACTTGGTAAATTTAAAAGGAGAAGTATTATCTGTTAAATTTCATATAAGAGAAAAATCTTCTAAATGTGAACTTACAGCTATTTTAAAAGATAATAATAGATTATTAAAAGAATTGGTTAAACTTTTGGGAAATAGGATAAAGATAATAAATTAGATTCTGAAAATCATCTAAATAAAAATATATAGTAAATAAAATGTTAGTAATAAACAATAAAGGATATAAACGTAAACATGTTGTTGGTGAAAGTGGTTTATTCAGTTTTATTAAAAACATGTTTAGTAGACAAGCATTAACTAATGCATTAAAAGCATCTAAATCTTTAGCTGTTAAAGCAGCTTCTTCAGATTTAGGAAAAACTGCAGTAGGAGCTGCAAAGTCTGCAGGTAAAGAACTTGCTACTTCTGCAATATCTACTGCTAAAGACGCAGTAGTAAATAAAGGAAAAAAGATTATCGAATCTAAAAAAACAGTAATACCTTCAGTACAAATAAAAGATATTACATCTCTTACACCTGAAAATAAACAAGGTCTTAAAAATTTAATCGATTCTTTACCTTCATCAAACGAAAATGAAAGAAATATAAATAATTTGCTTATCTGATCATCATATAAATCAACTAAAAAACTCACAAAAGAAAATAAACAAGGTCTTAAAAATTTAACTAAATCATCAAAAAAAGATGTAATTAGCATACAAGATTTAGTTAAAAATCATCAAAAAAAAGGTAAAGGTCTTAAAATATCTCAAATCTAAAAATTTTATTTCTTGATTGAAAATAACTTAAAAAAAATTATCTATATATAATAAAAATGGTAAATTTCGATATATTAGATATTACTGAAAAAACAATTATCGATGAAGGCATTAGAAAATATGAATACAGAGAATGTCCTACTACTACTAATATAGATTTAAATTCTCCTGGAGCTCTTATACAATTTATATTGGTAAAGCAGAAGGTATTTTACGTCCATCTGAATCCTATTTAATGATTGAAGGAAGACTTCTAAAAGCAGATGCAACATCCTATGCTAACTCAGATGCTATAACACTAGCAAATAATGGAATCATGCACTTATTTCAAAGAATTGATTATCAACTATCAAATGAAATGGTAGAGCAAGTTAATTTTCCAGGCCAAGCAACTACAATGCTTGGAATTTTAAAATATACAAATGACTTTCAACTATCAAAAGGAATGAATCAATTATGGCATAAAGATAGTGGAACATCAGCAAGTTATGCAGATAACTTAGGATTTTCAATAAGACAATCATATATAATTCAGAAACCGACTGCAAAAGGATCATTTTCATTTTATATTCCTTTAAGACATATTTTTGGATTCTGTGATGATTATGATAAAGTTCTTTATGGATTTCAACATACAATTACCTTTACAAGAAAAAGTGATGATAGTGCAATTTATAGAGCTTCTGGAGTAGCTGCAGGTAAAGTAGTTCTTAGTAAGATGTCAATATTTATTCCTCGTATAGAACCATCATTAATTAATGATGTTCATTTTAAAAAAATTATTGCAGAAAAAGTATTACTTCAACTTAGTTTTCGTTCAAGATACTGTGAAATGGCAGTTACATACTTTATTTGATTGGAATATAGGATTAAGAACTACTGAAACACCTAGATATGTAATTGTAGGATTTCAAACAAACAAAGATAATGATCAAACACAAAACCCTTCATCATTTGATCATTGTGACTTGCAAGATATATGGGTTGAACTAGGTACAACAAAATATCCTTACTCAGGTTATTTATTATCTTTTCCAAATATGCAATTCTCAAGGATTTATGAAGAAGCTATATCATTTGCAAATAATTATTATAACGTACCAGATCCAATACAACTAGGAAACATGACACCTTCAGACTATAGAGATTTATATCCAATTATGGTTTTTGATATAAGCAATCAAGACAGAAATACTTCAAGTACAATGAGTACCATTTATATTAAATCTAAATTTAATACAGCTGTTCCAGCAAATACTAAAGCGTATGCTCTAATCATATCTGATAGATTAGCAAAACTTGTTTCAAATGGAGAAAATTTATTATTTGAACGCTAAGTACTGAAAGAACCTAGACTTAAAATAACGCATGACAAATTTTATAATAATGCACCTGTGACGTCATTAAAGAAAATAAATTATAGCAAAATGATTTTTAAAAATTGATTTGAACATTTTATTTCTTAGTTTTATAATTTATACACATTACGGACAACATCAAACCATATATTTAAATAAATATATGGTTTAAAATATGGTTAAAATTGAAAATGTCCCAGAACTGTCGCCACTCTACTACTTACTTCAACCTAAAAAAACAATACAAAAGCATCAAGTCTTTTGAAATCTAGAATATAACTAACTTTTGTTTTGGCTTTTAGTGAATGATTTAATTTTTAAATTCTATTAATGAATAAAATTAAATCATTTATAACAATAGGCACCATCACTTCTATCTCTAAATTGGATGATGGGTAGTAGCTAAGGTTTAACATGCCCTATCAAAATTTCATTCTTTAAAATATTCCAATCTTTATTAAAATAAGTAAATCTATTATAAAGAAATAAAAAATTAATTTCGATACTTTGAAAAACAGTAACTAATGGTGTATAAATCACCTTTACGGGAGAAAGCGTATGTACACAACCCCCACCCCCCACTTCCTCGAACCTAAAAAAATAACAATTCCACAAAAATGTTAAAATGCTTTTTCAAAAAGTGAGACACTAGTATAAAAAACTATTTTATCACATTACAAGATGCTTCTGAGTATACATTTTTTCATGTAAATGGACAGATTACCCACTTCAATCGAAAAAAAAACACACAAAAAGAACAAGATTTTTGAAATATAAAATTTAATTAACTTTTGTTTTGGCTTTTAATGATTGATTTAATTTTTAAATTCCATTAATGAACAAAATTAAATCATTTTTAACAATAGACATCACGTGAAGGTAAGCCAGAGCCGTCTATCAAAAAAATTTGAAACCCACAAAACTTGCTGTACCTATTTGTAAGCCACAAAACTTGCGGTACTTCTTTAAAAACCACAAAAATTCCTGCACCTATTTGTTAGCCACAAAACTTGTATTACAAATTTGCAAGTATTGTTAAATAACATTTTCAGTTTAAGTACTAACTCTCTTAATACAACATCGGCAGCAAGCTGGAATTTTTTCATTGGAATATTCAACTGCTCCAATTTCAGTTTAATTTTGTTTCCAGTAAGAAATAGTGTAAATTCTGTCTGTTGGTCTTTTGTTTACTTTTTCAACTCTACCATAATAAATAACAGACTTTGAATATTCAGAACCATACCATTTATGAAATAGTTTTCTGGAATCAATTCTTTCTAACATAACATCATCTAAATCATCAAGTTGCTTTGCAGATGAGTATTTATATAAAGTTCTCATTTTGCTGATAGTTAATACACGCAGTTTATGCTCTAACTTTCTTTTTTATTTTTTGTCAACTTTTTGGCATTTGTAGGTCTGCCTGTTAAAAATCTTTTCTCGAGTTTCATCATGTTTTAGCTAAACTCTCATTCTATTTTTATAAGCATCATTATTAGACCACTTAACTACAATTTGCCTATACAACTCTTCAAAGCTATCCAGATAATCAATAGTCCTATTCTTTTTGAATCTTAATTTGCTTGATATATAACCACTTGTAGCATTAGGGCATCGTACTATGGCATCACTAAAAATACCTATTATTTCTTTACTGTCTATATTGAGTAGCCTTGGACTAGCTGTCTCCGCTTTGAGTGGAGACAGCTAGTCCAAGCGGAGACAGCTAGTCCAAGGCTACTCAATACAGACAGCTAGTCCATCATACAAAACATCATGAGGTTTTGTATGATGCACTAGCATAGTTTTTTAACTATTAACATTTTCGAGTATACATTTTTTATAATATATAACTATTCGTTTTAACATTTATATAATATTTAAACAAAATTATTTCTTATCAAAGTAATAATTCCCAAATAGCTAAAAGTATAAATTACTAAATAAACACATTAATTTATATGTCCCTGTGGTGTAGTGGTAAGCGCGTAGGACTTAGTTTGTAATAGACCGAGGTTCAATTCCTGCCAAAGGCAACGAGTAAATCCAACGTGTTTTTTGAATACTAAATATTCAAAAAACACGTTGGATTTACATCGGAATGCCGACGTCGCGCGATGTCAGTTTATCCGACGTCAAATAACATTTCCATTTCCAACGTAAACCCAACTTCGATCCGACGTCGAGATCCGACGTCGCTCGACGTTCGTTCGACGTCGAAATGCCCACTGGGTACTTTTGCTCTCTCTTTAAATCTTGTCTAAAACAATTCAAACCATTCACAATTTTCTTACTCTAGAGACTTTAAAGCGGAACAACATTCAGTTAAAATTATGTCAACCGGGTGAAAATGACAATTCCACTCATTTAAATTTTTACCCCAAGTTGCACAAACTTTGCTTGTAGTGAGTTAGTTAACTGAAACTCTGTCTGACATTGTGTTTGAAATATTTGCAATAATCAAATGACGACATTTGTCATTGTTACATAAATGAAAATTTTATTAAATTAAAGAAAACCTTCTGCCTCACAAATTTGATTTTCATAATCATCAGTTATCCCTCCTGGCAATTGATAAAGATCAATAACACAGCATATATTTTAAGGCATCTTTTGATGTAATGAATGGTGTAGGCAGGAATACCCTCTTGTGTTATTGCATCAAATCCAAGAGTTAGATGAGAATTACTGATAGCCCATTCTGCTGATTAGAGTTCTGCTATAGTTCCAAGTTCACGAGTCATTTGCTTAATAGTAGTATGATGGGTAATATTAATTAAATTAATAATATTTTAATAACATTTACATGCTAAATTCTTAGGCTTACTTCAATAATTTATTAATGTAAACCTATTAAAATGTCGCATACTTTATTCAATAACGTATGAGATTTGTATAATTTACAAAAGGTAATTCTTAACAATTTTAACTAAGATAATAAACAATCAAAGATTGTCACATCAATAAATAATGTAATACTATAACTTAAAGTATTACTATAAAATAACTATTTAAGTATTGCTAATAGTATTATTTACTTCATCTTGTAAAAATCATAAAATTTGACAATTAAAATATTATTGAGTAGAAAATAATAATAAATAAAAGACTTTAATTAGATTAAGAATCTATTTAAAGTCTTTTATTTATTAAAGTAATCACATAATTAAAGAAGAACTTACTATGTATAAATTATTATTTGTTTTCTGTTCCAAAAAATATTACAATCTAAGTAAAATAAGATTGAGTTTTTAAAAAAACTGTAAACAAATCCGCCCCCCTTTTCCGCTGTTATCGATTTCTGAAAAACAGAAATTAAGTAACAAAAGTGCTACATTTTTAAAACTACTTGCTAAATAAAACTTTTTCCTGAAATTTGGCATGTGAAAAGAAAATAGATGTAGAAAATGGGCTATAAGGTTTTAAAAAAGAGCTTAGCCTTAATTCGACAAAATATTATCATGATAAGATCAATGAAAGTTTCGTGAGCAAAAAAATTAATGAAAAAGTTCAGTAACCATACAACAAAGTTAGATAAAAATGAAGCTATACTTTTATACGTTTATATATGTTTCTAAAAAGAAACACATCAAAAAAAAACGGTTGTCTGATATATATATATATATATATATATATATATATATATATATATATATATATATATATATATATATATATATATATATATATATATATATATATATATATATATATATATATATATATATATATATATATATATATATATATATATATATATTATTTGATTTTCTCCATATCGTTCTTTTGAGTGATTTGGAGTAAATCAAATAAATTTGATTTCATGAAAGAAAATTAATCATTTTAATAAGATGATGCGTTATTTTTCTTTTAAAGATCGAGTTATAGAAAAAATATCAGTCACCAACACAAATAAAATAGTTCGAGTTATCAGGGGCTTGAGTTATTGAGTGATTTTGATAAGAAAGTGTTAGTGTGCGTCCAAGGGAAACTCGATAGTATTTCGAGTTATTCGGGGTTCAATATATCAGGAGTTCACGGTTGCCAACAATATTTTTGATAAAAAGAAATTATTTGTAAATGTAGTGGCAGTAATTTAAATTGGATTCAGTTTCATTTGCACAATACATTTGTTTTGATTTTATTAAAAAATTAAGAAATTACTTTGTTTTTCAAAATATTATTAATTTATTACAACTCTGGTAAGCTGCTACTTTGTGACATCTGCATATATGCACATATGCAGATTGACATCTGAGTTTTCAGAGTTAAAAAGTATGAATCTTTGCCAAAATGTTTACCAAATGAAGTTTGTGACTATCAGCTGATTGATACATAGATACTACAAGATGGCTACACCTATATTACTCTGAGAAACTTTTTTTTAAATAACTTTTTCTATGTGAATATTTTGTTATTTAACAAAAGCACTGTTGTTTTGTTAATTAAAAAAGGGAAACAGTAATAATAATTTTAAGAGAGTCATTATTGTTTGTTTAATAAAACAATTATTTAATATAGTACAAGTAGCAAATTAAAAATTTTTTATGATCAGGGTTGTTTTGATTTAAATCAATTTAATCAGATAAATAAAAATCATGATTTAAATTGACTTTTGAGTTTAATTATTTTAATAAATGTAAATTTCTGAAAGATGTTTAAGATGATGAAAACATAATTGTTTGTCAAGACAAATATCAACCAGGCAACTAAAAAACCCAAAGCTAATCAATGTTCTCTTAAGAAAACTAAATTTAGTCAATCTTCTGTATGCCCATGCTGTTGCAAGTTTCTACTTAATATCTCCAAAATATTTTGTACTCTGATATATATATATATATATATACTTCATATATGAAGTCTACACGTCTACAATTTTTTTAACTCCTAATATATTCTTAATTATATTATTTTATATATTTAAATATTAAAGAAATTAAATAATATTGAGACTTGGTAAAGATCTATGTAAAGAACTG